TTTTGGTCCAACTTTTAATATTTTTTATTATGTAATTTAAACTGTATGCAGTCCTGACATATGATGTCCTAACATATTAACCTGGTATGCTAAAAGAACTTGCAGATTAGCATGAGGTAGCTTCCCCTATTATATGTAGTATGTTAAATTGTTAATAATAACTTCCTGAATGTATAAGAGCTCCTTGCCTTATATGCTCAAATAAGGTTAGGAGACAAAAAAATAGGAATGTTTATGCCATTTTTACTTCTACTGCAGATTAGTGCAAGTATCTAATTGGGTGATTGAAAGCCTGCATATGACCTCTCTAACCTTCCCAATGGCAATGACTAACGATGTGGAGTACACATATCGAATTTTAGAATATGTGTGTCCTGCACTACTTGACTATGTGAGGATATCTAATTTAAAAATCTAACACTATTTGCTTTTTTTACTATTTCCTGTGTTTTAGATTCAACAAACTGAAATGAATGAAGAAGTGGGACTGTGGCACTTGAGCTCTTCTACAATGGTTTTGGTCAAAGTTTTGGATTTGGCTAATTATTTTGGGATGAAGGTAGTAACACACACATATATATATTTATTTAATTTCTATATATATATATATATATATATATATATATATATACATACATAAAACGAAATGCAGGGCACCAAGGGGAACTATATTCACAAGGGTAAAGTATATTCAAGTATATTTTGGTCAATGTTTTGGATTTGACTAATTATTTTGGGATGAAGGTAGTAACACACACACACACATATATATAATTTCTATATATATATGTATACATATATAAAACGAAAGAACTTTGTTAAAAAGTATAATAATATCACTGTTCATGCTTCATCTCTTTGTCTTAAATTTGAGACTGTTCAAATAACATGTAAGTATATTCTACAATAAAAAAAAGCGTTTTGTTTATTAAATAAATTTTTAAAAATGGTAAGTAGTCTCAATCATATGCGAAACCTTTTTTTGAAGAATAAAAACTTGAAAATGGTAAGTATATTCATCACCTAGAATCAACCCTAGAATCAAACCCTACAAGGAAAACTGCACTTCTAATAGGAAACGTGCAACTCTCTCTATATACATGCAGTAAATCGACCTTCTATTTTAGACTCATAGCATATAATAAATGTGTTTAATTAAAAAAGGCAGTTTTTCGTTTCTATGTTAATAAAGAGTCCCAACTGTATATGGTAAGAATCTGATAGCATATATATGTATATAAAATCGTGACAGTTAATTACAAGTATCAGTAATAGCCCATATAAGGAAACATGTATCTTTTAAATTTCAGCACGAATGATTGAGAACCATAATTAAAATTCCATCTATGTATACACACCAGAACCAAACATTCTTCTATTATATATATATACACACGCACACACTTTAAACTTATCAGTGCTCAAGCATCTTAGCATTTGAAGGCAGAGGTTGAACAAGTATGTCATGAAACTTTTACAGTTCAATCATTTTTCGATTTTAATCTTTTGCAGATCAATCTTTTACGGTTCAATCATATTCATTATAAAGTTTCCATTAGTAAAATAATTGAAAAGGTACATATACACTTAAATCTTGCTTTAAAAGTACCTCCAGTGTATTCATGAAACTTTTACAGTTCAATCATGTTTCGATTTTAATCTTTTACGGTTCAATCATATTCATTATAAACTTTCCATTAGTAAAATAATTGAAAAAGTACATATACACTTAAATCTTGCTTTAAAAGTACCTCCAGTGTATTCATGATTTCATATGTTCAAATTTTGCTTCTTTGAATGATATTGCAGAAAAATGGCACCTGAGCAGAAATTTCTTTCTGATGTGACTCTTCAACTCCCACGCAATTCGGCCTTTTTGTTTCGTGTAAGGAGAAAGTGGACTGTGAAAGATCAGAACATGCGCTTGGGTTCCAGCGTTTGTGAATTAGTTTTGATGGATGAAAAGGTGATGAACTACCCAATGCCATATTTTTTTCTTACTTTTGATTTTATTTTATCTGCCTTTTTCAGTGAATCTGTATTGCAATAGTGTACATTCCTGCCATTGTGTTTCATTGCCAAAAGAAGTAGTCATAAACCTGAAATTAGTCATTTTCTAATGCAAAATAGTAAAGAATCCAAATTTCTACATTCAGATTATAAGTTTTCGTAAAGATACAAAAACCAACTCATCATAATCTTTAAGTTTTCATAAAAATTATAAGTGAATGGTGCTAAAAGAAACAAAAAGCAACTAAGCATAAGTTTTTTGGAAAATACATGACAAAGATGCCCATAAGGAAGACTGTAAATAATGTTTTCACTAACTGTAACATTAGTGACAGCAAACTTTGATTAGGATAGAGCTTGAACATATAAGGCTATAAAATCCACAGTTTCCTTCGAGAAGCATTGGCATTCTTAGGATCTTTAACATATAAGGAGAGTGAACTTTTCACAACTGTCCCCAGTGATCATACAAAATCCCTGCATTCACTATGAACAATAACAGTGTCATTTGAAGTTTGAACTTTTTTTTTTCAAATTAAGTATATGATTCAGCCTGGAAATCACAAAAATAGTGACAGCCCTCTAAGTAGCAAAGTGTTGGGACACATGTACACCAGTACCTTTACCACTAAGGAGTTGAAGACTGTATTCAAAAAGGGAAAAACTGCAAAAAAGAACTGTACCACTATAAACTATATTTAGGATTGAAAAATCTCCAACATATCTACACCCATTCTCATGAGTTTTTTGGAAGGCCTAAACTTAAGTCATTTTAATCACAAAAAGCAACTAATCATAAGGTTTTTGGAAGGCCTAAAGTTAAGTCATTTTAATTGTAAACAGAAGGCACTTTTTTGGTTATTTGTTCTTTATATGGATAATAAAATTTATTAGTCCAACTCACAGCGTGATCAAATTCAAGCAACGGTCCCTCTCCACTTGATCCCCCAGTTTGAAGACCAAATTGAAGAAGGCAACCTATATGCCATGCTCAACTTTTCTGTCAAGGAGAATCAAGGGGGTTGGAGAGCAACATCCCATCCATTCCGTTTGATGTTCACCGAAAAAACAAAAGTCATGCTTCAGACAAATGAAAAACATCATGAATTTCCAAAGAGCATTTATAATATCATAGCCTATGCAGATATTACCAATTCCCCAGATGTTGAAGCGCCCGATTTGATTGGTACGTTTCTAAAACAATATATAAAAGTTGGTAGGATTACATTTTTTCTATCACTTTATGTTCTAACATTGCCCTTAATTAAAATTAGATGTTATTGGTGCATACAATCCTGATGAAAAACCAACCAAACCAAGTGATGGGAAAGGCTCCTGGTGTCGATTTCCGTTGGTCAATCTAGAGTTAAGATACGATTATGCAGAATAAATTCATTCCAACACACATTCTTATTGGTCTATTATATTAACAATGTCATAACTAACATGTAGGAACACCAAAATAACATGCACACTATGGAATGAGTATTCAGCGCAATTTCTGAATTTTATTAACACAACTAGGCATGATCCCATTATTGTGCTACTGCAGTTTTGTCGGATAAATACGCGTTATGGTATTCCTACATCCCTTCTAAGTCGCAAATTATGTTTTCAATGTCTTACATTTGCTAATTTCATTTTGAGGATGCAATTAGTGCCCTAATGAAACTGTATATTTCATTTAGTCGGTGGTACGAAGGGTGTGTCATCTGCATGGCAGTTTACAAAGTTACTAATCGATGAGAACATCCCTGAGATTGAAGACTTTCGAAGCCGGTATGAACACTTTTTATCTTAGTGCTGAGGTATAATGTGATGCTTAATTTAGATGGATATTATTCAAGTCTTACATTTTTTGGTATTTCAATCATTTGTTGAAGGTATACGGTCGCCGTTCATCAAGCAACACCATCAAGTACTTTTGTTTCTAAATCATCTACTGCATCTCTTACTAATGGTGAGGAGATCGTCTTTACCAAATCACTTTCAGAGTTATCCACTATGAAGGAGGTAATATGTTAAACTGCAGTTATTAGATATTAAATAAGTAGCTTTGACATTACTCATTTTCTCTCAAATAAGATGTTTACTGTTAGAAATGGACTTCCCTGCAACTATATGTTCTAGACTTTCTTATTAGCTTTTTCTCTATTGTTTACATGTTTAGCTTAGGTTTCATCATTAATGACTACATAAAAATTAAACGTATAGATATTACATAAGGCTTTAACATTAATATCATAGGTTTAACTCATAATCTCATAAACTATATTTCCTTCGTAATGGTGAATTTGAGTTTTAGGTTTGACATTAATTTTTTATGGCATTTTTTTATCTATATACTACTATATCCTATGTTAACAAATAAAGTATCCCTAAGGCCTTTTTAACAAATAAAGTATCTCTAAGGCCTTTTTAACAGAATTTTGTAAAATAGGTTCTTTAAGAAAAAAGAAAAAAATATATGATTTGTTTTTATTTGCTAAAACAACTACAACAACAACTCAATCATATGGTTTCACATTAATTTGTTATGTCATTGTTTTATCTATATATTACTATATCCTATGTTTACAAAAAAAATGATTATGCTGTTTGGTTTTAGAATTGGTTTTGCTGAAACAAAGAAAGTATCCATGAGGCATTGAGAAGAGATTTTTTTTCCAAAAAGAATCTGAATTAAGGAGAAAGAAAGAAAATGATTATACTGTTTAGTTTTAGAATTGCAGGGGTATAATTTTGTTAAAAAATACAATTCACACACATAACAATTTCCAAATTGGAAATACAGAACTACCTGCAATTGTCAAACAACTTCTTTTAATTTTTCTCTTCTCAAAGCTTATATTCAAAGCTTATATTCAATGCAGCAGGTCCGAGGATGCTGGTTCTATGGCGTGATACATGCAATATTTTCTTCACGAAATTGGGCTTATTTTGGTTGTAGTGATGCAAAGTGTTGTAAGAAACTGCGTGAAGAAGATGTAATGTGCAGCAAGTGCGGTAGAAGTAAAGATGAGGGTGTTTGGCGATACACTTTGAAAATGAAAGTCAGACATGGGACAACTTTTGCAGATGTAATGTTCTGGGATGAGGAGGCCCGGCTACTACTTGGAAAGGCTGCAGGAGATTTTTACGAACACCTCGATGTGGTACTTATGTACTTCATATTTAAATTATTTGTTTAGTATATATATATATATATATATATATATATTCATATACTGTAACATGTAATTTCCAAACAACTAACTATTTGTAGGCAACACTTAGACCTATCAGCTGCCCTGAAGTCATATCTGAATTGATCGGACGCGAATATCTATTCAAAATCAAGTCTGCCAACACAAACTCCAACTATGGTGAACAGGTTTATGTAATAGGCATGATATCGAGCGATAAAGAAAAAATAAAACAGTTCAAGATGGCAGCAGGCAATGAAGGAACGAGTTCTGAGGTAGTATACCTGAAACATTTTAATATATCTTTGTTTCATTAAATATTTATCCATTTTAAATCTTAAAAATAATCCACAGGCGTACAATTCTGATGAAGACTTGGAATTGCTTTTTGAATCTGTGCCGACAGGGGACTCCAATGTGGTAATACCTTAACTCCACGAGATTACGTTGGTGGTATTTCAATAATATCAGCCACACTTAAAACTGTTTAGAAAAGTGTTCATCTATGTAATAAGAAAACTGTTTAAGCCCTTAACCAAGTGTATATCCAAAAGTATAATTGCACTAAGTTACACCTTATTTTATTAGTTTTAGGATTTGAGGATGACTTCGGTACTAGAGTTTGTTGCACTAGACTGATTAAAGTATGGGTGTCTAGACTAAAAACATTGTAGACTATTATCTCAAGCACTAGAAACCACACTCTTCTTTAATAGTTGCAGATTTATTAGTTTATTAGTTTACTCATTTATTAGTTTACTATATATGCAAAGTGAAATGCAAACTGAACTTAGTAGTTGCAGATTTGCTATCTTTTAGTAGTGGCATTGGCTGAAGTTCTTTAGTGAACTTAGTAGTTGTACATTAGCAGATTTATTAGTTTACACATTTTTTAATATGATTCTTTAGTTTACTCACATATCCCTTCCTGCAAGTTTTAACAGAAAGAACACAAAGAGAAAAACAAAGATCTAAAATGCATAACCAGATTCATAGTAAACATTAAATTAACTTATAACTTAAGTAGAACATACAACTCTTATTAGTTTCTGTAATAAGCCATTTAAGAATAATGATATTATTCTTCTTATATGGCAATTCCATCAGACCGTAAAGTCAATTTTTTGTTATATTGGTATAGTATAAGAATAGTAACATTGGTATAATAATAACATAAGAATAATGACATTGGTATTATCAAAACTGCAGGTTATTTCAGACACTGAAACTGATGAGAAAGGAACTCCAAAATCAATTGGACGCGGCCGAGAATCGGATGAAGCAGTCACTGGTGATGTCAACGGCGAAACACAGGGCTCAAGCAACAAGAAACTTAAGGCCGTGAAGATCGAAAAGCCATGATTTTGAATTATATGTATGTAGAGTACCAATTGAGCACAGATGAGGTGAACAAATATTGCTTGATCGAGATTGAGAAGTTGTTAAGGAAAAGGTGCAGATCACTACGAGATTTTGTGGGAATGCCAATGCCACCTGAATCTGATATTCCTTCCATTGAAGACACCATAATTCATGAAGAGTTGAAGTATGACAAATCTGTCATGGCCGAGACACATGCAAAATTATTGAAAAACATGAATGAAGAGCAACGAAGTGTCTACGATAAAATCATGGAATCTGTTGACAAGACGAATGGAGGTGTCTTCTTTTTGTATGGTCACGGTGGCACAGGAAAAACATATGTATGGAAGACTTTATCAGCAGCAATAAGATCACGAGGTCAAATAGTGTTGAACGTTGCATCGAGTGGGATTGCATCACTTCTTCTTCCTGGAGGACGTACTGCGCACTCAAGGTTTGCTATTCCAATCAATGTTACTGAAGACTCAACCTGCAATATAAAGCGTGGTAGTCCATTGGCTAAATTGATTCAAATGGCCAAGTTGATTATTTGGGATGAGGCCCCTATGATACACAGGTATGATTTGCCCACAATGAATTTAATTATTATCTGTTCTATTAAATTACAATATAATTGTATTAAAACAAAAAATAATAGTAATATTTATTTTATTATACGTAATAAAATTAGTTTGATTATTATATTGTTTTTTATCATCATCAACATATGAACTGCGTTTTAAACTATTATTATGAATACAATTATTAGTATTAATATTTAGTCTACATTATCTTATTGTTCTAATTATTGATATTAATTACTAAACTTTTAAATTTTCATTCATAAAGCTACACAAATTGCGCCAAAAAAGGTCAAGAATAATTAAATATTTGTGATTCAAAAAAATGCTGTAAAAAAGGTTGCAATAGTAATTTTAGTCATGTTAACTTATATTCAAGGTTTATAATTTAGTTGTAACTTTTATTCTTTTTTTAAATATGTTTAAAAAAATTAACATTTTTGAACTAACTACACATTTTAAGAGATTATATTTAATCATCATAATTGATGCGTTTAAATGGGTCTTTATACTGTAAATCTAATGTATTATTGTTACCTTTTTATATAAATTTTAATAGGCATTGCTTTGAAGCTCTAGATAGAAGTATGAGAGACATACTTTCTTGCTCTCATGATGGCAATCCAAAATTGCCTTTTGGTGGAAAAACGATTGTTTTCGGTGGAGACTTTAGACAAGTGTTGCCTGTCATTCCTAAAGGCACAAGACAGGATATTGTTCTTGCATCTTTGAATGCATCACATCTGTGGCAGTATTGCACGGTGTTGAAGTTAACAAAAAACATGAGACTCAAGAACTTCACAAATGAAACGGCCAATCCAAGTATTTTGAAGCTTTTTGCCGATTGGATACTACAAATTGGTGATGGTGTTCTGGGAGGGAGCGTTGATGGAGAAGCAGAAATTGATATACCGGAAAATTTTCATGTTCCAGTAATGTCTGATCCCATTGAATCCATTGTCAACGCCACTTATCCAGATTTTTTGAAGAACATGAACAACATCTCATATCTTGAAGGGAGAGCAATTCTTGCACCGACAATTGATGAGGTAGACAAGGTCAATGATTTTATGTTGTTGCAGAACAGCTCAGAGGAAAAGACATATTTCAGTTCAGATTCAGCGTGTTCCTCAACCTCAGACAATGAGCTCCTTCAGGAGATTCATTCTCCCGAATTCCTTAACGGCATAAAATGTTCTGGTGTTCCAAGTCACGAGCTGAAGCTAAAAGTTGGTGTACCGGTGATGCTCATGAGGAATATAGACCATTCGGCCGGCTTGTGTAATGGTACCCGACTTTTAGTGACAAAACTTGGTGAACATATTATTGAAGCACAGATGATGTCTGGAACTAATGCAGGTGAGAAATTCCTTATCCCAAGGATTAGTCTAACCCCGACAGATGTGAGGCTACCTTTCACATTCATGCGTCGGCAATTCCCCTTGATGGTTAGCTATGCAATGACGATGAACAAGAGCCAAGGACAATCATTAGAGAATGTGGGCGTTTTTCTACGACGCCCAGTTTTTACACATGGCCAGTTATATGTTGCAGTTTCGAGGGTGACGAGTCCGTCTGGATTGAAGTTCGTGATATGTGACGACGAAGGAAATCGAAAAAAGACCGCAAAAAATGTTGTCTACAAAGAAGTCTTCAATAATTTGTAAAATTGTATGTTTATTAAACTCCAAATATTTTTTTTATGTATTTAATAATGTTTACTCTCATTCCCGTGATAAATTATAATACAATCTTTAATTTGATTTAGAGGTAAAATGATTTTTTTAGATTTATAATATTTGTATCTTACACCCCGTGCAACGCACGGGTGGAAAACTAGTAGTTTTTAAAGACACAGTAAATAGTTACTACGTACTTCGTATAATATTCATATGATAATTGAAATCATAAGTTTCATTTAATTGGGAAAAATGAATTTTGGAATATGACAAAAAAATGATACATAAATTAGAATTAAAAGTGTTGTCCTAATTTTGAGTGTGAATAGTAAATCGGGGCAATTATTTTGGAGTAAGGGTAATATTTTTTCATTGATTTCTACTCCCTCCGTTCTTTAATATAAGTCCTCTTAGGCTTTGGCACGGGTTTTAAGAGGAAAATAGTAGGGGTAGTGTAAAAGGTGTAATGAGTAGTTAGTAAATGAAAAAGTGGGAAAGAGAAAGGGGTAATGGTAATAAAAGTGGGGGTATAAAGGTATATTTAAAGTAAAAACTTTCCTTAAATGAAAAGGAGGACAAATAAAAAAAAACGTCCCAAAAAGGAAAGAAGGACTTTTATTAAAGAACGGAGGGAGTATGACTCTAAGTACAATTTTGAGTTTGCACCCTATTTTTTTTTGTTAATATTGAACTTTGCATCATATTTTCAAAATTTTTAGACTTTGCACCCTATCTACTACATTTTGTGAAGATAATTTCTTGAATGGGGTGCAAATGAAAAGACATATTAGAGAAACTAGGGTGCAAAGTCTAAGAGTTATGAAAATGTGATGCAAAGTCCAATATCACCCAAAAAGTGGGGTGCAAACTTAAAATATCCCAAAGAATTTATGTTTACGTCATCGCTTTCTTCTTTATATTTCTTCCGTTTTCTCCTCTTTCTCATATTTTCTTATCTATTCTCTCATACATTTTACTTTTTTTTCTACACTGTTCAATATTCATATTATTTTCTTCATAACACGTTCACTAAGTACGTGGTATTATTTAGGGGTGAGCGCGGTCAGGTCCACTATTTTACCGAACTCGTACCCGCGCCGGACCGTTACTATTAAAACGGTTCGGCTCGGTTCGGTCTTGGACCTAAACTCATTCGGTACGGTTCCAATTTCAAACGGTACGGTACCATGTCATACCAATATCAAACAATGTCACTTTGATCGACAAAGTAAAGTTTAGTTATAATCCAAAAATTCACACAATTTATCAATTTTCATATTTCATTATTAATAAATTTCAAAAAAACTATAGTTATACAAAACATATATCACAAAACGTTCAAGACCACAACTCTTCAAGCACCATTGGCTTTTCACTCATACACATTGAGTCTCCTCAAAATACTTGCACAATAATGTTTTGAAACAGAACATAAAAATTAAATTAAAGTTATTAACTATTTAACAAGTAAAGTGCCTTCATACTAAGTGTATGGCAACAGATTTTCAATTCACTGATCACAGAACATCAATTTCAAATATCCTCTCTATCTTCAAAGCGCAAACTGGAAGGAGTAATCAAATGGTGTACAATAATTATAAAATATTAATTATATAAATCATAATTCGGTCCGGTTCGGTACCGGTTCTCATTTACGAGAACCGGTCATGGCATGGTTTGCAACCGGTACGGTTCGGTGCGGTACAAAAATTTTGAGAACCATTTCGAACCCCGTTATTCGGTCCAGTGCCATATCGATCTGGTGCGGTATCATGACGGTTTGGTATTTTTGCCCATCCCTAGTACTCCGTATTATTCAACATCAAATTTAAGGATTCGTCATTGCATATTTTAGCAAAAGTAAAAATGTTAACACTATTGTAAAAGTGATTGACACATTGAAGTAGAAAATTATTAGCAAGAAGTGATTGACACCAGTCACACCACCACGGCACCACCACATACAATTTGTATCTTATTAATTACTCCCTTTGTCCCCAATTACTACCTTCATCCCAATATAAAAGACGCACTTTTATTTTTGGGTCGTCCCAATATAAAAAGCACATTTCGTTTTTTGGCAAACAAAACAGTGTCTAAACAGTGTTCCTCCTAAAAATGTTTGAAAATGCAAATGTGCTCTTTATATTGGGACGGATGGAGTATAAAATATTTTACGGTTTACAATGTTTGACTGATGACAAAACAAACAGATCTTTGCCCGCACTCAAATTATTTTTAGAAAAAATATAAAAAATTCACAATCTACATTAAAAGGTTTACAAAGTCGCAAAAATCTGAATCAAATTGATAAAAGTTTGATATACTACCTCCGTCCCTTTTATATTGGGATGGAAGAGGGTGGCACGATTATTAAGAAAAATGGGTTTGTGTGGTTGATATTAATTGATAAGGTAAAAATAAAGTAAGAATGATTTAGAATCACACAAACTTCACCAAATATATAGTATGTCACAATTTTAGTGGGACTTCCCGAAAAGGTAAAACAAGACAATATAAGGGGGACGGAGGGAGTATAAAGTAAGAGATTAAGAGTGATTTGTGTTGACCAGGTGGATAGGAAATATATCTTACAAAATGGGACTGAGCGAGTAGTAGATAACCTTCTTAAAATATTTATTAAATAAACAAACTACATTGAGCATAAAATGGAACATAATCATGATTACTAAAATTTATTATACTAGTATATATA